GTGTCCGAAGCGAGTATGGGTCACCATACTTGGCCACATGTCACGTCACACTTCACACACTTCACACTTTTTTTAACTGGATATTGTATATAATACATTTTCAGATGAAAAATATTTGCTCCAAGTGGACGGTTCTGTGAAGACATAGGTATTTTTTTTATTTTAAAGGTATGCATAGGTGAAATATTATCTCAGTTTTAAGTGATGGAATGTAAGGACTGTTTGTCTAATGAAACCAGAAGGATTTTTCCTGTTATGATTTATTGTTATTTCTACACATTGGCTAATTTGTCCGTAACAAAGTTGACAAACAATACCATAAAGACTGACAAAGAAGATCTGTTTTTTTTTTTCATTAAAAGTAAAAAAAGGAAGTAACTTGTGTTTGGCAAGCAATGAATTATTAAATTTACATGTTTTCAATAAGATACTGAAAAAAAAATCTGTTAGTGAAAAGTTTTTTTTTTTTACTTTCTGCAATGCCAAATGTATCTCCAATTATAGAATCACCCATGTACAATAAAAAAAATTGCCTTTGTATTCCTTCAGAATTAAACTAAGTCAATGTTTTACATAGATGTATGTGTATTTCAAATGCAGATGTTTTGCAAGAACCCATCAAAATGAATAAGTGAATAGCAAATAGCAGTGGCTGGGGACACCCTTAAAGGACAACATTTTAGCAATATTTAGGCTGTGTGTGGCAATGTTTTCCACTGCTAAAGCATACAGGAAGAGAATGCAGACACCCCTGAGACAAAGAGGCATTTGGTCACTGTACCCACCAAGCTGTTTCCTCCCATTCAGGGTTTACAGGAAAATGTCATTGTTCTCCAGGCAAGGCATGAAGTGATGTTGAAAAGATGGTCGCCAATTTTATTAGTGGTTGCCAAAACAGATACTATACAGACATTAACTTCAATTTGCATGATTAACAAGACAATGGCTTAATGCCCTCCTCCACCCTTTGCTAAAATTAAACGTGCACAACAAGGCATACTGAACATCGAAATAAGCCTGGTCTTTCCCTAGATACAATTCTTCACCAGGATGTCAGCAACTTTCCTCAGGCCAGATCCTTCCTCTTTCATTCTGTGTAACTGTGAATAACTGTGTGGAACATTAGAGACGTTCATGTGTTTATTGAAAGTCCCGTATGATTTCACAGCATGTCGGTGATGCTATATCATCATTACTCACATTCTTTAACCAAAACCAGTCTTGTGCGAACATTAAAGCAATAAATGACTGAAAGTGAGAAAACTGAGCTGAAAGAAAGGCTGGTTTCTACTGGTTTTACAGTCTGCATCTGGGGTGTGGAAGATGACTGCAAACAATGAGTTGTTGAGAATCTTGGGATGGCTTGGTAGGCCTTGGTAGGTAATTAAATGCAAAGACATATATATAGGTCTGCAGTTCATCTACAAATAAATTTCCCAAATCTGCCATGGATTATTTTTGGTTCAACAGCAAAGAACAAGGGCAAACAGTGAACAAGACAGAAAATTTCATCCCCTCATGCAGCATAATGTTTATGTCTGATGAAGAGAGGGAAATAGCAGGTTTTCCCTGGATGTAAGCCCCCTAACTAAACATTTGCCAGGATCTGCTCCACTCATGGGAGAGTTTCGCCCTCTAGTGGAACGGAACGCTTTGTACTAAATGCAAAGTTTAATTTTTCACGTTAGTCGTTCCCTCAAACGGTTTGCTCTCAAAACGTGTCAAGTTCCACTAATGTGTCTTCTTAAAAAGATTTACTCGATTCAATTTTCAATTGAATGACCTCGAAGATACTAAAAATCGATATGTGTCTGTTGAAAAAAAACAGCATATGCTGGTTAGGTAGGCTGTGTTTTGAAGCTGGGATACTGGTTTGAGCTGGTTTAATCTGGTCCTTTGCTGGTTTATGCTGGTCATGACCATCTAAGGACCAGTTTAAACCAGCATAAACCAGCAAAGGACCAGCTCAAACCAGCATCCCAGCTTCAAAACATACCTAACCAGCATATGCTGGTTTTTTCAACAAGGTGTAAATAAATTACAACTGAGCTGGTAGTGTTGAATATAACGGACGGCATTGATACAAGATTTCATATTATTTTACCGCATGTTAACACGTGTATTGTAGCGATACTTTAGAGACAATGTGTATTTTAAAGTTGTTGTTTTTTTTGAGGTACGAGTCAGTTATTTTCTGTGATCATCACTGTCGGTTGGGTTTTTACTGAAGCCCATTCCTGTGCGGGAAGGTAATTCTGATTCCCTCATGAATACTGCTAATATATAATTTGATGCAACTTAAGCTCACATTGAAAATGGACACAGTTGTTTTCTTCATTTTAGATTTTATTTCACTCACATTTCATATAAAACTTTGTATGTTTTGTCTCCTCTGTGGGCAACAGTTAGCATAAGTCACTCTTACAGCGTACAATTCAACTCCATTCAGCCTTATTAATAAAGCACCTCTAACACACACACAAAACAAACAAACATAATCACAGACAATCATAATGTAAGTTGGTTTTTAGTTACTGTAGTGGTCTCAAATCTGAGTACTTAAAAAGGAGGTGATATGGAAAACAAAAATATATCTGACTAAAAAGATACTTAGCATTATAGCTCCAAGTACATTAGCATGTGCGATATTTAAGCCTCCTTTTTAAAGGCATTAGGTTTTAGACTACTGGACAGGTAAATGTTTATATGTCAAAAAAATTGAACAACAAACAAAACTGACTCTCGTCTACCATGTTTTGGTCAATAGCAGGCCCTTCGACCACCATTTTTAAGCATACGTCAGTTTCTAGCTCAGACACTGCTACAGACAAAACTCATTTGAGTGCAGGAATGTGTGGAGGTGGCATATATTTCCACATGTTCAACATAAAAACAGAAATAAAACACATAGCCAGTACATTAAGATCATTCAGTAAACTGAGACGAAGAGACATGTTAACATACAATGAGGCAAAAAACAATTAAGAAAAAAAAAACAGTTATAAACAGTAACCGTATAAAACAAAAACCTTCTTGTTTGATTGGTCATTTGCAAAACTATTGCAAAATTCTTGCAGATTTAGATTTGAATCAAACTTAATGCTTGGAGCTTTACAATGTTAAGTCATGAGGGTGCAATCATGCTAACAAATTCATGATTAACCTCACATGCTCCATTTTAGCTAATGTAATCACATAATGAAGCATCTACTTTACTCATGAATTAAGGGTGTTGTAAGGGTGAGTAAACTTGAAGCAGAGAGATAACAGCAACATTTGCATTTACAACCAACTATGTGTGGATATTTAACATTTCTTTTTTCTCTCTCTACATATATTCTGCATACAGTGTTAATATTAATATGTAAAAACTAAAATAAGAGCACCTTTTGAAATATGATGACCCCATACTGCACTCAAAAACATAGGTTCAGCTCACAAATCAGCATCAATCTTTCTGGCTCATGTACAAACACTCATACACACTGCAAAATGACAATTTTCTTGGGTTCCTTACATTTAAATAATTTAGCAACATCACAGAACTCATACTATTTGAAGACACCATTTCTTTTCATGTAACCATTCAAATTATTACTTTGTCTTTAACATTAAACAGAAGTGAACTGAAACAACTTTAACTGAAAGCATCTTAAGTAAAATTTTCACCAACATTATTCATATTCTAAAACAAGAGGGATGAGAGAGGAATGGACTATAAAAATGCAACAGGGAAGAACAGTAAGGATAACGAGGCGAGATAGATGGTCTTCACAGGGTTTAAATGCAGGTTTGGACAATTAAAATGAGGTGCACTGTAGACGAAATTATAATCAGCCTAACTTGTAATGTTACTTAAATACAAGGACTGGTTAAAACTGTGGGTTTAAATGTTGAACTTATACGGGTCACAATCTCACAAAATGTGTTATTACATTTTCAAAATATAAAGTCAATTCTTGCATTGTGTCATTGTAAATTAACCACATTTTCACCCAAAATTCTTATTACCGTCAAGTAAAAAAAAAAAAATTTATTACAAAATAAAAAGGTTTTTTTGCCTTTTTTTCTCTTTTGAAATGTTAACTGGACGTGTTTTCATGAGATTCACCCATACAATCTCTTCTGTAATCTTTAAAGGCTTGATGTGCAATAAATGTGTATGATCTCATTCACTCCTGAAAAATTAAAACACCCCAAAAAAATATATATATATCATAAATGATTGTAGATGACAATACTCACACACATTGTCCTCGCCCTAACAATACAAAGCGGTGGTAAACAAATAAACGTCCATGAACTGGGACGGTAGGCTACAGCTTCAAATGGTGTCAGGTCAAGACTACGATAAATCAGTAAAGAACTGCTGTGCAAATTAATTGCACATTCATTTATCTTCCTGATCCCCTCTCAGCAAGTTCAAACGAATCAAGTTTTCACCGTGCATACAGAGAAAAAGCAGCTTTTTCACTCAGCTTCATGCTAGCTCTTAGCAAAATACTTGTACAGTACATGAAAACCAAGTATTTCCAGGATTGTTGGGTCTATTCACAGGAAGGATGCTACAAACAACACCCTCTTCTAAAATTAGCAACCCCTTCTCTTAACATTAGCACTGAGTTAGCATTAGCCATATGCATATTACTAAGGTTGCATTCACGCCCTGGAAGAATTGTCATCTCATGGAAGTTGTCATCTCATAACTGTGGTAATTCTAACAACACATGAACATAGCGTTAGCATATACCCTTCCTGACAGTGCCAAATAGTTGTTGGGGTGCAGTATCGGAAACTCTACAAACTGGAAAGGCCATACAAAGGTGCTAGATAATCCTGAAAATGCTTGTTCCTCGACATAAAGGCCACTTTTTTCCCCACTAGTATCAAGTAATAAACGGATACCATATTGGAAAAACAAACACTTGTTGTCACATCAGGATCTCTGCCTTTCTTGAGTTTATTTTTTCATTTTTTAAATAAATTATTCTATTTTTTAATAACTTATTTTACCACGGACAACCTACTTCAAACACAGTACATGCTTATCTCCAGCTAAATTGGATACAAACCCATGAAGGTAACTTGTTTCTTTAACATGTAATAACATTATGCAGTCATGTAACGTATCGCACTGTGTGGAGTAGGCTCTCTTTGAATTTAATGACTAACTTGTGCAAAACATCTGCAGAGGTGATGGGCTCTACACTTCTGGAGGAAGTTGTACTGCCTTTTCATCCAGTGACAGGCACGTCTCGAGGCATTCCCTGTCATTTGAGGCCTGTTCAGGACAAAGTTGTTCTTCGCCCCCATTCTCGAGAGGTGGAGGTACTTCGACAGACAAGCTCTTGGCCGAATCCTGCCCGCAGGTTTCTTGTTTTTGCCGATCACTCTCCATATCTGGATCCCCACCTTCGCTCACCACCTCCTCTACTTGCGCAGGAAGTGTCTCAAAGGCTGCTGTCTCTACATGACCTACCTGATAATAGAGGACAGAAGCAGGATCTTTGAGCAGCCTCTGCTCGGTCTGTTCATCTGCATGGTTCTCTGTAATACACAGCAGAGTGGCACCTTCAGGAAAAGGCCCTTCTAGAAGGACACCCTCAACCTGCTGCTCTTCTTGTTCCAGTCTCCTTTCCCATTCCTCCGCACTCTGTAGGTGAAGCACGGCTGTTTCATTCTCACGCTCCAGGCTGTCGCACTGCTCCTCTTGCAGCTCCTGAACACTTTGGCTTTCCACCTCCACATCCGAGTCCAAGGGAGAAAGAGACAGAGATGGCGAGGAGACTAACTCCGTCTCTTCCCCACAATCCTCTCCAGACCTTACACCCAACAGGCTTCTCTTTTCCAGGTCAAGTTTCATGATAGTGTGAAGATAGTGGGTACGCACACGAAGAGGGTTGAACTCAATGCGGCCAGCTGTATTACCACAACCGTCACGGGTGCAGCCACATGGGAAGGACATCCGATCCACCTTTGGAACATGGTACACGAGAAAGAGCATGTCTTTTATTTGAATAGGCTTACAGACCAAATCAGGGGTGTCTGATCCTGCTTTTGGAGGACAACCTTCCAGCATAGTTTAGCTCCAGTCCCAATTAAACACACCTGAACCAGCAACTCAAGTTCCTCAGGATCACTAGAAACATTCAGGCAGGTGTGCTCAAGCTAAACTCTACAGGATGGTGGCCCTCAAGGAGCAGCATGGTACACCCCTGGGCAAACCGGACACAACTTGATAAAAAAAAAAAAGTTTAATTTCTGAGACTACCAAGTGCCATACCTGGCACTTAATTCCAGCTTGGCTGCATCCGCAGTGCCGAGGGTCACAGTAGAAGCGGCAGTCACAACCACACTCCTCCCGGGACAAACGTATGGCACGGAGCTCAGCCTTTTCTCTGGCATCTATACAGGCAATTCCTGAGGCCCTCAGTAGTGCCCGACGCCTCTTGGTTGGAAGAGGCTGCAGGAAGAAGCAATCGTCCACCTCTACACTCTCAACATCCAGATCCTCATCAGATATGTCATCCAGGGTAAGCAAATCAGCTTCGGGGCAATCCACAGTTCCATTGCGTGTCAGCTGGGAAAAGTCAGGTAAAAGATCTTAAAATCAAAACAAAATGGCTACTCTACTGCAAAAGCAGAATCCTGTAGGAACAACAGAAGCTAGAACAGAACAATGACAAACAACTAACCTTTAACTTGCGAGCATTGAGTTTTTCTTGCCGTAGGTGTTGACGCAGCACATGCTTGTGGCTGCTCTCTTGTTCGCGTGCAAACTCGCCAAGGGTGTAATGTCGTATAGCACAGTGATGGCGTGCCATGCCCAGGGAGCTGCCACCCTGACTGGGCACACTGGTAAAGCCCTGCCTTCTGGAGAAGTAATAGACTGTCACTGCGTCAAAGCATACCTGCTTACGACCTAAAGATGCTTTGTGTCTTCTGAGAATGGAGTGGGCTACAGAAACAAGATAAAGAGATACTGTAAACAATAATGTTTTGGTCTATTGCTTTAGTACTCCACCTACGCCTCCTTAAATGACAATATTGTGGTTCAAACTAAGTCTCACTTTATCCCAAAATGGTGTTTAAGAGTTTTTCCATCTCAAGGTTTGCTGCATTAGCCACAATGACCAAGTAAGACGTGTCCCTGAAACAATATTCTTTGTTGGTCCTTGAACAACATTTCTATAAAGGAAAACTAAACCTTACTCCGACCCCTATTCATAACCTATCACTAACATCTGTGGGAAATAATTAATTGATAAGTATATATTTCTCTATAGCTATAAGACTAACCCTAACCTTAAACCTACACCTAAATCTGATCGTTTAAAAGCATTGTTGCTCCATTCCGACAAGGATGTTGGTCCAGAAACATCTATGGATGAGGGTCTTGTAGCTCTTACAAACAAAAGAGAACTGCCAACTTGGTTGAAGAACTGGCTCAAGAGGTTATCATGGTCCACAGACTGTCTTAATAGTATATTTCTGAAAGGGTACCTATGTGTAAAACTAAGTAAATAAGCTAAGTAAGAAGCTGTTGCACTTTACACTGAAATGTTATGATTTGCAACTGCTGCAATAGTGGAAATGTTATATGTGGAATTAGCTCAGGGGCTAGGAACAAAACAAAACGCAGGGAAATTGTTTGAGCTCCTTCATAACTTACGGCCAGGAAGTTGTTAGAATAATGAAATTATAAGACTAACTTGTGGTGTGTTCTTACGTGTGAGGGAGCTGGAGGGAGCATTGAGACTGTCGCAGCTATCAGCGCTGTCACTGCTAGAGATGTCATCATCCGAATCTTTGGGTGTGGAACACGGCGAGCCGCTGTCCACCTCCTCGAATCTGCGCTTCAGGCCACGAGATGACACTGTCTCCATGGAAACACTGCGTCTGGAGGCATTACAGATAGGTACAAGCTTTGTCCGACAGACTGAAAGAATATTACTGGCAAAATTAAAAAACATGAACAATCATGACTTAAGAGTGTGCATAGCCAGTAGCATATGTATGTCCAAGAGTGGCATTTTTACTTAAGAAACGCTTTTGAATGCACTCTCATACAAGTTATATAATACCCAACCAAAAATATTAGATGGATACCCCTGGACCACAAAACCAGTCTTAAGTTGCTGGCGTATATTTGTAGCAATAGCCAAAAATACATATTATCGGTCAAAATTATCTATTTTTCTTTTATGCCAAAAATCATTAGGATATAAAGTAAAAATCATGTTCCATGAAGATATTTTGTAAATTTCCTACCATAAATATATTAAAACTTAATGTTTGATTAGTAATATGCTAAGAACTTCATTTGGACAACTTTAAAGGCGATTTTCTCAATATTTAGATTTTTTTTTTTCACCCTCAGATTCCAGATTTTCAAATAGTTGTATCTCGGTCAAATATTGTCCTATGCTAACAAACCATACATCAATGGAAAGCTTGTTTATTCAGCTTTCAGATGATGTACAAGTCTCAATTTTGAAAAATTGACACTTGTGACTGGTTTTGTGGTCTAGGGTCACATATAACATAAAAATGCAATCAAAAAAGGCCACATTCAACAATCTGGAAGCTTATGCAACATCACCTATTTTGCTACCTAATCCTTGACATTCGCTTTCTCCATCCAGCATGAAAGTCCTGCTTAAAAATCATGAAGACTGCAAACGTCACCATGGTAACTGGTTTAAAGCAATAGCCATGGAAAAACTGCATTCACATTTTGGGTCTCTTTCACCCCCATTAAAACCGTTGGAACCTTACAAACAACAAGCCTTTGCAAGTCGATGACAAGACCGGTTCAGTCAAACCAGAGAGGTCACACAAGGCCGAGTCGGGAGGTTTGATCAGACCACCTCCTTAGCCCGAGGGAGCTGTGTAATACAACTGCTTTGAGTCAAGGTTACAAGATGACAGACAAAAGCGACTTCAGCCCATCGAAATGGCCAGACCAATAGAGAAATAGCAGTTTCTTCACGAAGATATAGTGATGTCCGAACATTTAAGCATCGTAAACAATAGATATTAGTCTTGACATAGACTATGGGGGTTTTGTGTATCAAGGCTATGCGGGCACTCAACGTTGCAGTCAAGCTCTGTAAAAATTAAAAACGGGGCAGACGAAGGCAGACAAGGACCATTTTCATTAAAAAGTACTAATCCCGGAGCAGATGCATCCAATAAATGCAGATAAAATCTCTAGGTGAGCCTTAAAAATGCCTGCACTCAAAAAGACCAAATAGAGCCGAGCCTTCAGGGGTTTTTTTTTCCTCCGGATAGGTGGTTGTGTTCTGCGCTATGTTTAGACAAATCGCAACGTTATATTTCCACCCCGAAGGAAAGAAAAAAACAAAATTATGTGTAGTATCCGTCGGCCCGAGGACCCTATGGGCCTCACTTCTGCCCCGGTTTGTTACACTGTAACAATAGAGGAAGGAATGCCGCACGGGACACATATATACTTATTGTGACGTCATGGACGTGCCGGCGACGTAGATGTTGCCGGGAAATGTAGTTCTAGAGTGCCTTTTGTTAGCATGGGAAGCTACGCTGTCTTCCTCGACAGGAAAACGGATATTGTTTCTCTGAGTGGTTATATTTGGGAACAAGGCGTGTAAAGCAATAAAGGGCAACTGTATCGCAAACAAACGTCCCATTTTGTGACATTTACGCTAGGCTAGCTGGTCCCATTTGTAGTCCTCGCTTCGTTTTTTTTTTTGACAGCTCGGTTTCCATGGAAACTAAGTGGGCCGTTTTTAAACTGCAGTCAAACACTATTAGCAAGAGACTGATAATGAAAAATAAATTACAAGTATAAAAATATACTTGGGTAACTCTCACAAAGTCTGTTAAGAACATGCTGGGGTCACATTTCGTCTTGAAACTCAATCTGTACATCACAGAACTTTGTTATAAGGCATTCATGCTGATTTACATACAAATATTGTACTTTATATTAGTCATTTTATGATTTTATTTTTAATTGTCATAAAAAATAATGTTTTTCATTTCCTTTATCCAAAATATAGATCTATTGATTGAGGTGAAATGTTAAACAGGTACATTTTTGTGAAATTCACCCAGGTAACCAAAGACTTTTGAAGCGTTTTCACGTTATAAATGCCCATTAAGTGCTTAAAATTGTTGTAGCCATAGGGTTGAGTGAGAAAAAAAGTTAATGCCACATAAAAAATAAAAAAAAAACAGCTTGTTTCAAGGCAGGTCATTTTAATAATTGCAATGACACGGTAAAGGGTCACAACAGACAGTACCTCACGTCTTTACCATCTTGGTCTGGTTTGTGTCTAGCACTAACCACGGCTACCATTTCTCATGCAGTGCAATGTTTCTCCCCTTTACCCGACCTGAAAGATTAGTACATCAGTGGTCATATCCAAAAGGAAACAAAAAGAAAGTAAATCATGATCTCTCTTATACCATAAAATAGTGCTCTGGCAAGTCGGACATTTGTAAAAACTATACAATGCAATGATGAAAAAATTTAAGGGGGGAGAGGTGTTAAGCACAATGTTAAAAAAAATAAAATAAAAGACGCACATATATAATGCCCACAGCTGCCGATCATCTCCTGCCTGTAAAATGACGTGCATTTGCAGCAACACCTGAAAAATCATCAGGGATCAAAGCTACTGATCCTAATATCATGTCCAACAGTCACAGTCTCGTCCACAAGGCTTAAGAAATCAACAATTAACTTATGAAAAGCATCATTTGCGCAGCAATGCTTCAGTCAAGCCGCTCGCCGTGAACCTGCCAAAAAATCTTAACTTGAAAACAGTGTGGCAGTACAGAGGGAATTCCATTCATTCTGTCCCTCACAACATCTGTGATCATATCAAGATCATTCGCTAAAATTGGGGTGACAATATAAGAACGGGACTGCCTACTTTTTCCCCACAGGTGAGAGAACTGACGACAACGTTCATCATGAACTGAGGCAATTTCATAAGTGTCCTGGAAATCTCTGGGCCTACCAGCGACATAAACTTCCACTTTTGTTGTTTATAAAGCATGTATTCATTGAGCCATGTGGACTGCACTTCACTTGGGACTGTAGCATAAGCAGCTAAACTACTCGGGGGGCGACATCCAGGCAGACAACACCAAATAATACTGTATGCCAGCCAATTCTCTGTTTAAGCCGGTAAAGCCATAGCACATTATAAACATATTTTTCTGACTTTGATAATAGCAACAAAGCAAATGAATGCAAAGAAAGTTAGTAAAATAGAAATTCTGTCATTTGTTTTGTAAGTGTAAATGGGAAGGGGTGGAACAAGGCAGCACACACTCCATGGATAAAACAGTAAAGGTTTCAAAATGCGTCAGGTGCCTTTTTTCCTTTCCCATGATCGCCTCCATTATTATTCCAAGCCAAGCGATCTTCGGTAAGGTCCAGGAAGTGTGCAGGGATGGGGCTGTGGGTTGAATCTTAAGAAAAAACATAAGGGGCCTGTTCACTCCCCCACATCCTTTGTTTTCACTTCAAAATGATGTGATAGCCATCGTTTGTTTCAGCTGCAAATTTAATCGAAAGAGTGCAAGTTATAAAACAGAGGTTACCTAGAAACAAGGACATGTGGGTTTAAACTTGTCAATACTTTGAAAAAAAAAAAACTGGCTTGCTCATACCTTTCATTGTGTCCAGGACAAAACACATCTCATCTTGAAAGTTCTGAATCATCTGTTTGAATGAGAACATAAAGAGTACATCAGAAAAATAGACGAAAAGAGATTTTACTTAAAGTCACGATAAAACGGAAGTAGCCTCTTATCTTTTCTTCTGTATCGTGACAGACATCGGATTATCAAAATAAAAAAAAATACAAATGTAGGATGGGGACTTGTTTCTGTCCATCGGCTGTTAATTGGATTTTAAGAAGTGAGCATTGAACTCAAAAATGAATGTGTGCGAACATGCAAAGTAAGAGAAGTATGACATGCATCACCAGAGAAAAGTCTGTCGTTTTCATGATATTTACTTTTCGAACACAAGTTCCTTGGTCTTATTGCGCACGTTACAACAACATGATCCGCCTCTGAAATGGTTTTTATTTTTAACTCACCAAGCCTTCTTATTTTACAACCCTATTATCCAAACATCAGGCTCAATTGATCCTTCGCAGGGAGTTCTAACATCTTTCCGCGGTTGAAACAAGATACCTTCTGATGTTCATTCAAGTTTATTTCATGCTATAACTAGTGAAGAGTAAGAGATGATCGGTTCACGTGTCTCTTGAACTGAGGCGCTACAGCGATCTATCACAACACATTAAAGAGCCACAAAATGGTATTTATTGTTTGAATTTCTTACAAAATGACAAAATTTTAAAGCTGAGACTTTGTTTCATACCAAAAGTAACCTGCTCTGTCTTGTCTGTTGGCATGTTTTCAGTGAACTCCATAAAACGGTTTTGAAAACTGTGAATTGGCAAAAATTACAGTGTCTGCATTGTAAAGACTGTAAGTCTATCCCTCACAGCCTTGTTTTCATCCACGTTAAATTCAATATGCTGTCTAGCCTGACTAAGGTCTATTACTGATGGATAAAATCAAGTGCTGTCTCTTTTTATCCCCACACTAGAGCTTTTGGCCCAAACCTCATTGAATTTGGTTTTGCAATCTGCTCTTATTTGTGGAAATGAACTGCTATCGATGATGGATTGATGACGACCAATGCACTGCAAGCACAGCAGCAAATTCTGCAAGCTCTGCAGAAATGGCCTTAGGCGAGCAGCTTGCATCTCTTACAATGGATCTTCAGACCAAAGAATTGAAACCAAGTGTGAAAATAGCTTTAAGCTTGCCCTCTATTAAGTAGCAATAGGGTTAACGTTGCATGGTTACAATCCTGGGATTACTATCATGCCTCGTTGTTGTGTCCTTGAATAAACTACTGCCTTCTAGGGACAG